GGCAGATCCAAAACATACAAACAGATAGCCAAATTAACTAACTAGGAAAAGAAAACAATATATACTTTGCAATTGGTGGCGTATGTGCGTTGTTTTTGACACCGGAATTTATGTTGAGGTCGATGATGAAACAGATCAACAGGGCATATCCAAAACAGAGAAACAAATAGCCAAATTAATTAATTAGTTCTAGAAAACAACATAAACTTTTGCAATTGGTGGCTTGTGTGTGATCTTTTTAACACCGGGATTTATGTTGAGGTTGATGACGAATAATTGACAGAGCAGATCCAGAACATAGAAAATAATTAGCCAAATTAACTAATTAATTCAAGGAACAACATACGCTTTGCGATTGGCAGCGTATGTGTTTTTTTAACACCGGAATTTATGTTGAGGTAGATGACGAATGATCGACGGGGCAGATCCAAAACATAGAAAACAAATAGCCAAATTAACTAATTAGTTCAAGAAAACAACATAAACTTCGCAATTGGTGGCGTATGTGTTTTTTAACACCGGAAATTATGTTGAGGTCGATGACGAATGATCGACAGGGCAGATCCAAAACATGGAAACAACCTGCTAAGTTAACTAATTAATAAGAGAACTCGACATACACTTTGCAATTGGTGGCGCATGTATCCGTTCTCGCATACCAGCTGGGATACCTGCTTCTGAAGGCGGTCATTTTCCTCCATCAACAGCTTGTTCATAGCACTCAATTTTTTATTCACACCGTGAAGCCTGGTAGATTCTTTCCTCTGCTTCTCTCTACACCTAAATTCACAAACAATGATTTTGCTAGCCTCCATCAGAACTAAATAATTGCATAATTACATCATAAACAAGATCAAATCCCCCAGGAATCAAACAAATTGACATCTGAAAATCAAGAAATTACTTAATCAAGAATTAAATTAAATTCCATTGATGAAATCAACAATTAAAGGCATCTAAAATAAAAACAATCAGATAATGACACCCGCAGAAACTTTTCATTCACCTGCGGTTTTGGAACCACACTTTGATTTGTTTGGGCTCAATGTTGGAAAGAATTGGGCATTCCCGGATCAGTTGCTGGCGGCGCAAAGAACTCGGTTTTGGGCACTCAGAATATACCCTCTCCAACGCCTCCACCTGCTCAGCCGTGTACCGGACATATTTCCCTGAATCAAGATGCTTGTTTATGCTCCCACTGCTACTCTCTCTGTGTTGCTGTGCCACCATAGCCATTTCCCCCAAACCNTTCCCTGAATCAAGATGCTTGTTTATGCTCCCACTGCTACTCTCTCTGTGTTGCTGTGCCACCATAGCCATTTCCCCCAAACCTCAAATTCTGAAATCCCAAAAGCGAAACCAACGCCAAAACTACGCAAATTTTGAATAGTCTGAGCAGCTTTCCACAGAGAACTGACGGGAGATTATGTTTAACTGAACCCAAAATTATCTTAATTTACTAATCTTGGTTGTGCTACCTAGTGATCTCAGAATACTAAATGGACGATCTTGATCAAGCCAAATGATTCTTGGGCCTCTAGAAGGCTCAGAAACACACTTATTCCACTCACCTTACCGAAGAAGCTAACAGCCAAAATAGCTCAACGAAAGCTAAACAGCTTTGTCTACGAAATCAAATACATACTGACAAAAACAAATCTTTTTTTCTTTTTATACAAATAAAACCACCCTTCAATGAAGCGAGTAAATTAGCAACTCACGGGAAAGAAAAACTGTAGCCCCTCTTTTCTTATTACTAAATTATTAACTTTCGCTTGATTTGCTCCTTTTCCCACGCAAAACCCCTGATTGTTATCACAAATTCACCACACAGTCACAAATTTTATGCGTTTTCTGCATTGATTACAGTGGAACCATTCAGCCTTTTCAGTTCCTGTAACTTTAAATTTTTCCCTTCCTTCAATACTTCAAAACACAGCAAAACTTCGCTCGAGCTGAAACTTGAGAATATTTTATTTTTCACCTAAAATACTCCAAAATTGAATTTCACCAAAAAGAGTAATGAAATTAAGACAAGATATCTGAACTGAGGATCAGATAAAACACTAGCTTTCAAATGGGATCTTCAATAAATGCACAAATACCAAACAGGAGACTCTCTCTTTTTCTGTCTCTAAAGAAGACGAGAGCCAGCTATTTCAGGACAAAAGATGGCTCTTTGAAGATCTACGACCGGAACGAAAAGTGATAATAATACTCTAGACATGTCAAGATTGAAATGACAAATAAATTTCAGAAGTAACGAATTTTTTAATAAAAAAGAAGGGATTTTTATTTCTTAGACTGGAAAAGAAGATAGTGGTGCGTATGTATTGTCGGATGAGGTTGGCCAAAAGAAAGAGGAGAGAGAAACAGTAGTGAGAGAGAGAGAGAGAGAGAGAGAGAGAGAGAGAGAGAGAGGCTTTGAGGGTCTGCTCGCAAATCGAAAATGGCAGAGATTTTATTTTGAAGCTGCTTTTTTCTGCTATTGTTGGCCTGTTTACTGTATTGAATGCTCTCTTTTGGAGTTTTTGTTCTTTTCATTTTTGCCCTTGGAGTTCTGTAGACTACGGTAACTTACTTATTATATTTTTTCTTGAAAATCAAATCAAAAACAGAAAAAGAAAGAAGGGATTTTGATTCGGCGCATTTAATCCTATTTAAATGCTTGAAATGGCATGATAGACCCACACACCGATTGTTTTTCTCTTAAATGCTTTGGTCAAATCACACAAACAAAATCTTCTGCCATTGCCTGTCCTGGGTTCTCTGCCCCTCCCTCCCTCCAGCGTTCAGGTCTTGTGTTGGGATAGCGTAGGGACGGGGGCAAGTTTTAAGCCGATGGAGGTCGAGTAAATGACTAAGTTTTTAGTTTTTCACGTTTAGAAATGCACGATTAATTTCTTTGCCTAGCTTGTTTAGCTGGGATGAGTTCTGTTGGGGATTTTTGAAGATTTCCAATTCGTAGACAAAGAAACGTAACTAATAACAACAATTAAGGGTGTGATTGGTTTGTCGTTTTCGAGCCATTTTTCATTTTCGAAAACACATTTTTGAAAATGAGTTAAAATTTATGACTGAAAACGCAAAACGACTTTTTATCATTTTGAACATTTTCAGTTATAAATTGCCAAAACACTCAAAATGCAAAAAACGAGCCATTTTCGAAAAATACTAAAAATCGTTTTGAAAATGAAAATGAAAACCAACTGCTACCTAAGTCTTCCACATAGTCCATGCACTTCTTCTATCTACGCAATTTTACAATATTGTAAGAACACGACTTCTTGATTGTTTCTAAAGGGAAGGGTTTCGAGTGATGGAGAAATTGTGAGAGTGAGCGAAGGTGGAGGAGGTCGAGTATAAGTAAAAGACTGAGATGGTACTTAGTGTATTAGAGTTGTGGATATAATTAAATTTCTCGTCTTGTTTGTTTCATGAGGGGTTCTATCAAGATTTGCAAATCTGTAAGACTTTGGGGCAACTAAACATAACTAATAGCAACGACTAAGTCATTCACATTGTCCGTTCATTTCTTTCAATTTATAATACTATAAAATAGCGATTTAATCATCTTGTGTACATGGAGGGGCGGGATGGGGAGGGAGAGGTAAGAAATTGTCTCCATTTTTTGTCTCCGTTTCTTAATGTGGGAGTGTCTTCGCCCACTTCATTGGTATTGTTGCAGGATTTGTTATTTTTTGTACAAACAAATAAAATTAATATTCGCGTGTCCCTTCACTTCTTTTATTTATTACGATTTTATGATGTTGTAAGAAAGCAATTTCTTCATCTTGTGTGTTTGAGGGGGCGGGGTGGCTGAGGAAGAAATTGTGTTTCACTGATTCTTAAAGGTTGAACCCCAACATTAAGGGTCTCCCACGTCTCTATCCTGAGTATCGTGAGGGAGGTAAATCGCAGGTTAAGCCTCCAAGGGTACATGGTGGAAGGCTGCTTGTATACTTGCACTTACCCAAGAGCCAAATCCATATTTCAGGATTCGAACCCTTGACGTGACAGCCTCAAACAAAATTGGATTTCTCCACCCTCCCCTTTTACCACTTGGAGATGTGCCCTGAGGGCATGTTTCACTGATTCTTGTTTCTAATGATAGCACTGTTACCGTGTCATTTGAAGCGTAATGAAAAACTCAAAAAGTTCC